GCTGAGCCCTGACAGCCCTGCAGCTCCAGCCATCTCTTGCTCAGGCTTGTACAGTGTTGCCACTGGTTCAGCTCATTCCCCTCCCCCGCTACCACTTTTCTAGGATGGCCGCATACCACCTGCCAGGTGCCAATGTACCACAGGTGGTACCCGTACCACTGGTTGAAAAGCCCTGATCTAAGCCCATTTAGGGAATAGTGACCCTAAAGATGATATTGGATACTAATTCACGTGATCAGAAGCTAAAAATGTAGAATCCAAAATATCTGGAGGAGTGTTTTTCAAATTTGGCAAATTTAAGATGTGTGGATTTCTACTCCCAGAATTCCCCAGCCAGTATGCCTCCCTATCTCCTCCCCCCTCCTCTAACATTTTTCATTTAATCTTTTTGCTTGCTTGCTTGTTTTAAAAGGAAGGAGAGAAAAAATGATAACTAAGATCAACCAAAGCCCTGGATATATTTTCACGACAAATTTGTATTTCCTCAACCAAAGAACCATAAAATCTATGCATTTCAAAAATATGGGATATTTTTTTAAAAAAGTAGTGGCCTTCCAATAACTACAATTAAGAGGGATTAAATAATGAATACATTAGATTAATTGGTAGTATAAAATCTCCCAGAGAATTAAAAAAATGTTAATATTTAAAAGAAATTGTGAATTTCATCATGAGATTTGGGATTAAAGATAAACTTCTAGATCTGGAGAAGAAAAACAAAAAATAAAGCTTGACTACAATATTGTAATAATTGGGGGACAGCTGGACTAGTAGGATGTGCCAAGCTGGCAATTTCTGATATTGTTGCAATAAGGATTAGGGGCACAGATCAATATGTAGATTCCAATGGTGGCCCAGAGGGAGGTAAGGGAATGGAAAAAGGAAAGCAGTGGGAAGGTCAGGGACAGGATTTCCTGAGGTCATTGTAAGAAGCAGCAGACACAGAGGCCATATAGGTAGTCCTCAAGTTACAACCACATTTGGGACCAGTTTTTTTTATTGTAAGTCATTATGTTTGTAAGGCATCACATCACTAGAGCTGATTTTTCAACATTTTGTGGTGGTCATTAAATGAACACTACAATTGTTAAGTGTATCCATTTTCCCCAAGGGGCATTTTTTGCCAGAAACCAGAAGTAAATGCCAGAAATTGACAAGTGTTGCAAATCATGGTCATATGCCTGTAGGACATCAGAAAATCCTGTAAAGCTGAGCCACTTGCCAAGAGCCCAAAATGCAATTATATGATCACAGGGGTACAGCTCCCATAAGTTCAAAAACAGATCATAAGTAACTTTGGGGAGGTCCGTTATAACAGGGATCCCCAACCCCTGGTCCATGGACCGGCACCGGGCCATGACATGCCAGAAACTGGGCCGTGCAAACAAGAGAAGCACCATCCACAGGATGCAGGCAGCACACAAAACCATGCCCCCTCCGGTCCGCGGGAAAAAATTATCTCCACAGAAATGGTCTCTGGTGCCCAAAAGGTTGGGGCCGCTCCGTTATAACTTTGAATGGTTGTTCAGTAATTGGTCATAAGTTGAGGATTATCTGTATAGAAAAGAAGGGTAGGAGAAGGGAAAAATGCATCGATCTTTCTATACTACTAACAGCTTCAAATTGCTGTTGTCTTCACTGGAAAGTACTGTATTATTCTGGGTAACTCAAATTATGGAGCTGTCCCAGTGCTGAAATATATAGTTTGCCAATAAAGAAGAATATTTGTAGTTTAGGATTTTTTAGTCTAGATTAGCAAGGATGATGTTACCAAGGACCCTTCATATATAGCTTGTGCTAGAGATCTCTGCTCTTTAAGTAGTTTTCTAAAGTTTTGACATGCCTTTATTCTCCTTTGTCTAATGTTTCTAATCACTGCTATTAATGTCACATTTGCTCAGCATTTCAAGCAGCTGGTGCACGAGTTACAAGCAAAAGGAGTTGGGAAGGTGAACAAAGCCCTGACTGAATCCTTCAAAATCCTGAGGGAGGTAAGACTCTTTATATTCCAC